TCAAGGATGGTTTGCTCTACGTTGGCAGCCATGGCGTTGTGAGTGAGATTTGTTAATGTGAAGGTGCACTCACTCCGCTCAATACCTGAGTGATTCGAAATTATTTAGTCCATACTTGTAGACCTTTTACAGAATTTTGGGAAAGAGATTCAACGAAAACTCAATACATGCCTTAGTTTTAGGCCGGTTCTGTTACTGTTGCTTTCAGGAGTATAAAACTAAGCACGGCTCACACCGAAACAACATGTGGGTCAAAACTGTTAATTCAAAAGGAGAGGTAAGGTTGAATAAATCAAGTGAAGTTCAGTCTTGTTACCAATAACAACAATTCAAAAACTAAGTGTTTACTCGTCGCAGGAAGCATAACTGACGCGTCGTTCTGTAGCACACCTAGTTACAAGGAAACCTGAGAATCTAGCAAAACTGCTCATCCTTTTCAAAACAGTCGCATCACCCATTCTGTTGTAAGCTTCCTAATTGCTACAGCAATGGATGCTAACGCTTTATCACGTTTATAAGTTCACTGCTTCGAAGTGGTTAAAGTCAATGGCGCAACAAAGAGTCGTCCCGCTGCCCTTTAGAGCACCTGAGTACATTGCTACATTGTTTAGACTCTCTATTTTGTTATGATGAAATTTCTATGTACAGGGTATGAGTCTGTGGCGAATGCATGAATCTTTCAAGAAAAATTACGACCTCCTCTTACGCCAGATGCTACCCTCTGTGCCCCACCACTTTCCTCTATTAGTAGCAAAATATGCTTAGAGTATCTAAATTAAAGTTAGCTCTGGTTTTCTTTCGAATTGACTTAGAGTTAATCAAACTTTTACCATCGTATCTATCAAGGTCACCAACAAGAACTGGATTGGTATCTACAACAAAATGAAGGCTTCNTACCTAACACATGAAGCCGTTCAGTGGTCAGCGAGACGAGGACGTTGGTTCTTCTTACCCAGAAAAGCGTCGAACACTCCCTATAATGAAACAGTGGATGAAAAGAGGTACGTGGGACTTTCTTCACATAGCAACGTTGAACAAGACTTTTCTAGGGGCACCAATCTTTTGATAAGTTCTACAAATCTCGACCGATTCGAGTACAAAACGGTTGGTAAAGTTGTTCCTGAACGCGGATACTCGGCTTTCGCCTTCATTCCTGACACGAACGATGATCTTATTGTCGCCTTGAAGTCGAAGGAAGTGGGTGATTCCACGGCCACATATATAACTGTATTCAATATCGAGGGTCAGGTTATTCTTCAAGATGAGGAACTCAGTGGTGATTACAAGTTTGAAGGATTGTACTTCCTTTGAACACTTCATTATAATAAAATTTTTACAATGCTGTTCTTCATTAAATGGATCTACCATACAAGTTCATAAAAGGCCAAATGATTTACTACCTTTGATGTGCTCGCATGAAGTTTTTATTATTACCACTCGAATCTACACCAATCTCTCCCACTCTGTTTGGAGCTGGAATGCCTCACTCGAAACTTACATTTCCTTCTTTTTTCGGCAGCAAGAACTTAGAAGTTAGTGGCCCTATAACGCGTATTAAAATTCAAGACTGGTGAAGGTCCGTTGATAACGATCTCTACCTCTGCAGCTACAGTCGCACAACAAGATCATTTCTTCGGAGTTTCAACACGATAGAAGCTGTAAACAAACGACCTTGAACCTTCATGGTCTTTAACGCAACGCGTTCGACTAAAGCCGTCCTGTTTGGACTTGAGCTCCACATGCTTCCATGTGCTCCCTGCCTACAGTGTCCGCTCCACCTATGCTAGATTCTGTTCACTTGATATCCCTAGAAAGTTTATCGAGAGGAGTGCAGATTTTTGCTCTTAGCTCCGCTTACGTCGGTATCCGACCAACCCATCATAGATGATCGGGCTGTTAATCCTTGCTAATTCTAAAATGCATTTCATTCCACTCGTCATTGCATATTTACTCAAGTAGAGTCTTCGTGAACTCGTGCAATTGTTTCTCATGTTGAGGTGATCTTACTCATTCCGTTCTCAGTTGAACTGCCTGCTCTTTTTACTCGAATTGCTCATATCGCTCTCGCTCCCCTTCACCATTCCGAAAAGAGGGGTTCAGCATAGTCATTGCATATCACCCTACGCTAGCTCCTGCTGCCTATATCATTTCCAAAATTTCCAAATTTTGGACATCTTCGTGTCCGTAAGTTGATGTCTGACAATAGACCATGAACATTACTACTGGTTATACAACTGTGACTATGATCATGAAGTTAGTAAATAGGCATTTTTCTTTCCTCTTTTGATTACAATAAATGAGTTGTGAGAGCAGAGTTTATGTGAGAGCTGAGTCATTTAGGAGAACAATGTGAGCGAAAAAAAGCCAATAAGAGATTGTAAAGCTGCTGATGATACTAAGGTGATGACATAACCACGTGTTATCCGTTATACTGAGACGAATAATAATACGTCATACGAGATACTATTCTAGTTGAACCTAAGGCGACTGATATACGGACACAGTTGGAATGCTGTGATTCCAGTACTAGTCTGTTGTACATCGCACTAGTGTCGACTAGTACAAGGGCGTGATTATGAACTTTGATGTAATTGAGTTGAGTGAGTACGCTGCGAAAGCAATTTTTTGAACCGCCTCTTCAAAGAACTTGGAAACATTCGCGACATTGCGGCGAAGGAAAGAAAAGAGACTCAAACATACCATTAGAAACTATCTGAGGACCTGATAGCCTCTATCATTATTCGTAGTGACGCGTCACACAAGCCCGTATTTCCTGAGGACGACGTATGTTTGATTTGTGGTGGAAGGACCAACTGATATCGGACGCGAAGAATACATTTTGACGATCAATTGAACAATTTGCCGCATCGGGCGACCTTCTAGGTTCCCAACAGTCGCGTTCGGACGATTGATTTCTCTAATTATAAAAGAGCCTCTCCATCGATTAGTAAGTTTTGGACGAACAAGATTACCAATGTCAATGTCCTTTGAATATACCTTGTTGCTCAGGTCGTATTCAAGTTTGTACTGTGCCATCTTCAAAACGATTTCTCTGCCGACATCCATAATGACGTTTATAGGCTGGTTGCAAATTGATCAGCAAAGTCGTCAGATTCCCAAATAACTTGGAGCGACATTCTCCATGAACTTCTTTCCAATAGTTCGTGGGCACGCTTTTCAAACACGTATCACAGGCTTAGATGAATCAACGATTTATTGCCTCGGAAAGCAGCAAAATTTATTATGAAAAAACGAATGAGTGTAGATGGTAGAAACGTATAATCCTCAACAACTTCCATTCCAAATTGTGTAACTTCCTTCGAGCTAATATGTAACATTTTAGAGATCCAAGTCCTAATTTGAACCAATATATCGAGAACAACCTAATATCACAGTTCAACTGGCAAATAGCAAAGACTCTGAAAAAAATACCGCAGCGAATTATAATGTGGAATCCCAACACTGCGAATGCATCACAAAGTGCAGAGGCTTCGCTACGTACTCACTGTATCGGCTGAAGAAGTTGTTGAAGTATTGGGACTCGGAGGCGCTTCCGAGGAAGACTAGAACGAACATTAACAGTATATTGTCACACTGAACTTAATAACGAAAATGGAATAATTGGACTACTCAGTGATCCCAGTAAAGGTAATCGATATTCCTATTATTATTGTTATATTATCATCATTAAAGTATCAACCCATTAATGTTCCAATAATAAATCCCTGTAACGTATCTCTTACGCCGAAGAACCACCTACTAATTTGCTTACTTATTCCGTTATGAATCTTACTTCCATAGAATGTCCCCATGGTGACCAGCTTTCACTCAACTACTACTGGCAGAAGAATATGAGTCTCGATGGTGCATGTTGCTTAATAGCTAACCTCACAGATAAGGGATGGTTGGCAACATTTGTTCAATTCTAGTCGATTTTAAATGTTGATCACAGTGTCTAATGGCGTTACAGTTATGTTATGTGTTTCTGTTTTTAACGACGTCTTGTACAATGCACTGAATATCTGAATAAATAAAGTTTAATAAATTATTCGTTTGAAAAGATCTCAGGGTGTGCGACATCTATTAATGACCCGAATACAGAAGTAATACAAAAGTACTCGTAATTTCTCAAACTTCAGATAAACTCACGTCAATTTCACCTTCCTCACAAGCGCTGTTCGTACGAGCTTTCCTATCGACTTTAGCACGCTTGAAAGTATGCTTCTCACTGACTTTCTTTACTGTTATCGCACCAGCAATGACTTTCTTTTTGAGCTCTTCTGTCGCAACAGCTGCATCTTCCACAGCTACAAAAGAAAGTAAAGGTCGTTTGGAAACCGATGAGTCCCCTATACGGCAAAACATCGCCCAGGCTACTAAAATGGCTTACATTTTTTGACTCTGTTCTTTTCGATACTGGACACTTCTCCTGCGGCCGCATTTTTGCGCTCAGCCAAAAGACGTCGCTGAAATTGAACAGTCTTTTTTATCTGCGCAAAACGGCAAGAGCACGAACCATCAACTTTAATTTTTCGTGGATTTCTTTCAATGCGTGTTCTTCATCCGATAACGATGTTGGAAACGAGATAGGATTCATTTTTGTCGCCTTAATATGATAAAGTTGGACCTGCAAAGTTTCAGATGATCAAAATATTACACAGAGTAGAAAGGACCACCAAACAAGAAAGTTAAGAAAAGCCTGTCTTCATTAGAGTTATTAGCCAGAAAGCACTGAACATTTTTGAAAATAAAAATTTTCAAAGAGCCCAAGAATTGTGTTGTAGTGAAAATCACAAATTACTGGGGAAATTCGAGGATTTCTGTGATGTCATGGTCCACGGTCATGTGTTACTACTCTAATTAATTTTAGTTAGACTCCAACAGTTTTCAACGTAAAATCTTAGATGGTTATCTCGAGAAAAAAGCCGAGGTAAGAATTGAGCACCCAATTGGCTCATCCACCCTCCTGCCCTTCTTAAAGTTGAGTCAAAAATACACAGTAATTCCTACTTCACTCCCCATTTCAATTCTAAGAATCCACTACTTGCACCTCCTTACTCGAAAAAAGAAACAACAATCGAAGCTCACTCCGAAGCTTGATTGAACAGTTGAGAGCAGCTCAATCCCATTAAGATAGACTGCACGAGTTCTCGAGACAAGAAAACGGACATTGCCACATCTGTGGACCAAAAAACCCCATTTGAAAGTAACCGCATTGGCGCCATAGCAGCTTGGCGGGAACAGAATTCAAATGGCTTCAGCGGGGTCGCAGCGGCGTAGGAGAGCGTCCCTTCGTTCGAACACTGCCTGTCCTTTGGGCGTTGCTGGTTCATTCACTCTTTTGTGGTGTTCATAAATCTTCTTTGTTCCAACTAGTACGTGTGCCCTGATTTATTGGGAGTGGGAAAATCTGTATGTCGATTGGGCGTGTTGTGTGAAATTCCAATTGCTTCCCGAGTGTTTTCTGAATCTTTCTCATATCTTTTTCATATGATAGATGGCGTTTTTCTAAAGAGAATACTCCGCAGAGCATACGCCTTTACCTCCTAGAACACCTTCTAGGAGAATGCAGGGAAATCTATGATAAAAGTTTGAGGGTCTTGCTATTAGGAGGTTTCGGGACTATTTCGTTTGAAGCTTTGGTTATTTACCTAATTTTCGATAGCACTGCATCGTATACTTTTGTACTTTCGTTCCTAGTTGTTTTTGATACTCCTATGAGAAATTTCCCATTCAGTAGCTCATCCTCTAACAAGAAACTAAGCATATCACGATGAGCGACAGTGACGACAGCGATTTCTTCGTTGATGAATCGCCAAAAAAGAAAGCACCACCCAAAAAGCCGCCGGGGGAGAAGAAAGCTCCCGCGAAGCCGAAGGAACACAAAGAAAAGATAGGTTAGTTCAATAAGAAATTGTACAGAAAAATCCAGATATATGAATGCTTATCCTTGTAGCCGACATATCGATGACCATGACGGAAGAAGACAAGAATGTGTTCACAAACATTGACCAAGCAGCCTCAAAAGGCAAAAAATTGGCCATCGAGGACATCTACCAGAAGAAATCGCAACTCGAGCACATCTTGCTTCGTCCAGATACCTACATTGGGTCTGTGGAGTACACTGAGAAGACCGTAAGTTCCTGTCTATTCGCTGTCTTGGCATTTGAATGCATTAAATGAGCGTAGTACTCAATCGCAACTTTCAGTCCATGTGGGTATATGATTCCGAGACGGAAAAACTCGTCCTGAAGGACATACAATATGTGCCTGGTCTGTACAAAATTTTTGATGAAATTCTTGTAAATGCTGCCGATAACAAACAGAGAGATCCAAAGATGAATTGCATTAAAATCAACATCGACAAGTAAGTTGGTTACCTAGCAATTACGTTTTTTTTGGTGTGCATTGTCGCCTTTTACGTCTGCCATTGAGTGAACCATAACTTAATGTCTGACGATTTCTTGATGAAAAGTATGCGGAGAAGTTCTGCTCATTCCAGAGAGAAGAATCAAGTTTCGATCTTCAACAATGGTAAAGGGATCCCCGTTGTGCATCACAAAGTGGAGAACATGTATGTACCGGAAATGATTTTCGGAACACTGTTGACGTCGTCTAATTATGATGACAGTGAAAGAAAGGTTATATATTAAATTGCTTAAACGGGGTGCACAGACTGAGGCTTCCTAGAGAAACGTATTCCTATCAATTGGAAGCAGAAAGGAGTCAAAAGAACTACAATCGCTCAGTATGCTTTACCCGCGAATTCCCCTTTTCATTCGAACGGAGTTTGTCCACATTTCTCGCGAATTTCCTCGTCGCCAGAGTAGCCAAAGACTGTGCGCCGTTCTATTGCATGCCATTATACTGTTTCTTGAAGTGAGGTCCATTAGTTTTCAGGTTACCGGAGGTCGTAATGGTTATGGAGCTAAGCTATGTAACATATTCTCAACCGAATTTACCCTCGAAACATCATCGAGAGAATACGGGAAAGCTTTCAAGCAGGTAGGATTTGCATATGTGTACAGTCTAGTTCCTTTCACTATTTCTACGTATTCTCCAGACTTGGATCAACAACATGACGAAGGACAAGGAACCCCAGATTGTAAAAGCCACTGGCGACGACTATACCAAGGTGAAACGCGATTCTTCCAAGCGGCTTTGTGAAATTTATTTTTGGCTTTTTAGGTCACATTCAAACCTGATCTGAAGAAGTTCAAAATGTCGCACTTAGACGACGACATTGTTGGGTTGATGTCACGTCGTGCTTATGACATTGCCGGCAGTACCAGAGGCGTAAAAGTTTTTCTAAATGGGAAAGTTCTTCCGGTGAGTTAGTGGCTTCCATGATGGTGAGGATGCTTATGCCTTTGGTGTTATTGACGCATTAACGCTTTAGGTTCAAGGCTTCAAACAGTACATTGAACAGTACACAAAAGATCTCACGGGCCCAACTGGCGAACCAGCAAAAGTTGTTTATGAATTGGTGAGGTTTCCCTTGCAAACACTGGTTTAAAGATTTCCAATCTTTCACTGCTTCAAACCATTTTTGTGAAAAGTAGACTTCAATGTTCAAGAAAATTCTTCCCAGTCACCTCTATCAGAGGTATTCTTTACAGGTAAATGAACGTTGGGAAGTTGCGCTCACCGTTTCTGAGAAAGGTTTCCAGCAAATATCATTTGTCAACAGCATCGCAACTACCAAGGTTGTTTTTGTGGACCTATTCCTCTGGTAGAATGTTTTCATATTCAACAACTATACTTTGAATTTATCTTAGGGAGGTCGTCATGTCGATTACGTTGCGGATCAAATGGTTTCCAAACTGATTGATGTAATCAAGAAGAAAGTTGGCAAGAGTACCGTCAACGTCAAACCATTCCAAGTAGGTTTTTATTTGTTCCGCCAGAAAAATGGATTGATTAGAAGCCTCTGTTGTTTAGGTCAAAAATCATATGTGGGTGTTTGTGAACTGCTTGATTGAAAACCCTACATTTGATTCGCAAACGAAAGAGACGATGACTCTACAATCGAAGTCGTTTGGATCTAAATGCGAGCTCAGTGAAAAGTTCACGAAATCGGTAAGCTTTGCGTCTTCTAACTCAGGCGTCTATAAAAATGATCCGTGTGATCCAGAAACTTTATGTAATTCCTTTAAGGCAGTGAGCTGCGGGGTTGTGGATGCCGTTCTGGCCTGGGTAAGATTCAAGCAACAGGAAGATATGAACAAGAAATGCAGTTCAAAGAAAACTACAAAGCTGAAGGTGATTACATTTATCTTTTTTTGCACTACTGCTTGTTCCTCTATAGGACTCTAGGTTTATATGAATTTCTAGGGTATCCCAAAATTGGAAGATGCTAACGACGCTGGCACGAGGAACTCACAGCTGTGCACACTGATTCTCACTGAGGGAGATTCAGCCAAAACGTTGGCTGTTTCTGGTCTTGGTGTGGTCGGCCGCGATCGCTATGGTGTATTTCCTCTTCGTGGTAAGCTACTCAATGTTCGCGAAGGAAATATAAAACAGGTTTGTAATTCAACTTCACAATAATCGACAAAAGTGATTTGTTGAATTTGTCTCATCTAAAATTTCATGAAAACCATTTAGGTGGCCGAAAACGTCGAGATTAATGCCTTGATCAAGATCCTTGGTTTGCAATACAAGAAGAAGTACGAAACGGAAGAAGACTTCAAGTCGTTACGTTACGGAAAAGTGATGGTGATGGCAGATCAAGTCAGTCTTTTACAATTTGCATGATGTGCGTTACACCTGGAACCTTCATATCAAGAACCAAACTAGTCCTTGTGAATCGATGAGACATGGTTTGTGAGATTTCTGCTGTCGTACATTCCTGGTATACTACTAGGACGTAGTAATCTGCTTATTACGTATTAATGCTTATTGATCATAGTAAGAAAATGCCCTGACACCCGTTACATATCCCTTTGCCATGTTTTCTATGTTTACGGTAGTATAAGCATTGCACTAACGTTTAGTGGAATTTAACCTTTCCTGGTGTCCTGCGGTTTTTTTTCGCCAGAAGAAAAGTGCCTATGAACGCGATTCTCTATTAGATTCTACATTCCGATTCCTTATATCGTTCGCTTTTTTGAGGATCAAGATGGATCTCACATCAAAGGACTTGTAATTAACTTTATTCACCATAACTGGCCAAGTCTTATACAGCGCAACTTTGTCGAAGAATTCATCACCCCCATCGTTAAGGTTGGTTTACGGTGCTAGCAAAATCTCTCAATTAAGTAAACATCGTACAAGTTCAGGCGACGAAAGGAAAAGAGGAACTGTCATTCTTCTCAATTCCTGAGTACAATGAATGGAGGAATAACACAGAGAACTGGAAATCGTATAAGATCAAGTACTACAAAGGATTGGGTAAGAAGGTTCTCAGAGTTAGCCTGTTGGTTGAAACATTAAGTGGTGTGTGATGTAGGTACTTCCACCTCAAAAGAGGCTAAGGAGTACTTTTCTGATATGGTGCGTCATCGCATTAAATTCAAATATGGTGGAGCAGAGGATGATCACGCAGTTGATATGGCGTTTTCTAAGAAGAAAATTGAAGAAAGAAAGGTACGTCAATGTCCTGAAGGCATGACTTGTTATTGATTTCAAAAACTGAGCTCATCCCCACAAATAGTTCTGTCTACTCTTTAGGACTGGCTGACGAAGTGGATGGCCGAAAAGAAAGAGAGACGAGCCAGAGGACTAGAGGAAGAGTATCTATACAACAAGGATACTCGTTCGGTCACCTTCAGTGACTTCGTAAATAAGGTATCTAGTGATCTATTGTATAATTTTGTTGTAGTCAGCCATTGAATTACTTACATTTAAGGAATTGGTTCTCTTCTCAAACACCGATAATGAGCGATCGATTCCCAGTCTGGTTGATGGCTTCAAGCCCGGTCAAAGAAAGGTGCGAGTCTACTGTTGATGGGGCATTCATCGCTGCATTTAACTCATTATTTTTTCTACTTTTTTTAGGTGATGTTCGCTTGCTTCAAGCGTGCCGATAAGCGTGAAGTGAAAGTTGCGCAGTTGGCTGGTGCTGTTGGAGAGTTGTCAGCGTACCATCATGGTGAGATGTCTTTGATGGGAACCATAATCAATTTGGCGCAGGTGTGTTATAATACGTGAAGTAAAGCACTCTTCTTTCTTGATCCTACTGCTCCATAAGTGGTTTGTAAACGAGATTACAGGATTTTGTTGGTTCCAATAACGTGAACCTGTTGCTACCCATCGGTCAGTTCGGTACTCGTCTTCAAGGTGGAAAAGACAGTGCATCTCCTCGTTACATTTTCACTCAACTCAAGTGAGAATAAGTTTGAATTGCAACAAAATTCCAATAAACAAAATACTTATGAATTTATTTTCTTATTTTTCTAGCCCTGTGGCTCGAACGATTTTCCCTGTTGTTGATGACAACATACTCCGCTTCTTATTTGAAGAAAATCAGCGTATTGAACCGGAGTGGTATTGTCCGATCATACCACTCGTACTTGTTAATGGTGCATCAGGTGAATGTCCGTTAAATGTCTGGTTTCTTGTGTAGTCGGCGATAATTAATTAGCTTTATCTGTTTGGTATATTCAAAGCCAGTTTCCAAGCTAAATTAAATGAGTATGTAGGTATTGGTACTGGATGGTCAACGTCAATTCCAAACTACAACCCCCGAGAGATTTGTGAGAATATGCGAATGCTTATCCGTGGGGAGCAACCGAAACCCTTGGTAAGGTTTGATAATCGAATTTGAATGCATTTGTAATTTAGTTTCTGAAGTAGAATACTAGATTTTTTTTAGTTTCTCAACTGAGAGTTATGGTGCGGCATTTTAGCGATAGTTCTACTTTTGTTTTACTTTTTCCTTTGCCGCCACCACGCTTCGGTGTTGTTTGCGGGTTGTCTTTGCTGTCTTCTTTTAGCCTTGCTACCATCTTTAAATTTTTCTCTATAGCTATTGCTTCAATTCTTTTCCCTGTCCACCACTTATATTATTCGTTTCTGCAGATTCCATGGTTCAAGAATTTCCGTGGTACCATGGAGCAACTAGATTCCTCGCGTTATGTATGTTCTGGTGAGGTCGCGGTTCTCAGTGACGACACTATTGAAATTACCGAACTCCCGGTGAAAACGTGGACCCAGTCATATAAGGAATCTGTGCTTGAACCAATGCTTGAGTCTAGTGACAAGAAGCCACCTATGATTAGGTAAGATCTGTTTTTATTCCTCGTTCCCTTCTTACATGGACTTGAAAATACCGTAACTCGAACTTTTAAGTGATTTCAAAGAATACCATACTGATGTCACGGTTCGTTTCGTTGTAAAGTTGCCTCAAGGTAAACTGAGAGAATATGAAGCTGAAGGTCTGCACAAGGTGTTCAAGTTGCAGACAGTACTGAATACCACTTCAATGGTTAGCCAGATCTTACCGTTCAAAATTGCGTTCAGGGGTTGATCCGATGATTTTCAGGTGTTATTCGATGCAGCAGGTTGCCTTAGGAAGTTCAATACAGTAGAGGAGATCTGCGCTGAGTTCTTCGAGACGAGGAAACAGAAATACATCGAGAGAAAGGCGTTCATGGAAGGCATGTTGCGTGCGCAGTCCAATCGGTTGACTAATCAGGTGAGAGAAGGTGATATGTTTTTTAAGTCGGGCCAGTTTCAGAATGTTCATGACATTGTTCAGGCTCGTTTCATTTTGGCAAAAATCAAAGGAGAGATTGTCATGGAGAACAAAAAGAAACAAAACATCGTCGAACAACTCATCAAGAAAGGTTTACTTCCCTATTCATTTCGTTTTTCTCAGGTTAACTTTTCCCTTTAAAGGGTTTGATCCCGATCCCGTGAAGAAATGGAAGGAACTTCAGAAGAAGAAGGAGTTGGAAGAAAGTGGCGAGTACGACATGGAGGATGAGGAGCAAGAGAGTGAGGTAAGCGATTTAGTCGGACGTAGAAGTTTTTCTTTCTTATTAGCAATAGATTTTGGGTCTAATTCGACTATTCAGTTTGGTCTGTGATGATAGTCTTGTTGCAAAGATGATTCTTTCATTGTCTGAGTTCAATTTGTTTTTGCTTGGAAGTGTTAATTTAGCAGAAACAAGAAACAGTGACAAATAATGAAGTCTCTGCTTTAGAAATGTCACCGGAAGTGCGTAGGTGGTGTTTAAAGGCGCAGAGATACATGAATGCTTTAACAGCACTATATACAAATGATTACGAAAAGGCGAATCTGAGGCCAACAATAGTCATTCCTTTTTTGGAGCATCTTATCCTTGCATGTTTTGTTGTTGGTAATTTGGTACTGCGTTTTACAGGAGACTGAGGGAAACAAAGATCTCGATACAAAACTCTCCGACTACGACTACCTCGTTGGAATGGCTTTAATTAAATTGTCTGAAGAGGAGAAGAATAAGTTGCTCAAGGAAAGTGATGACAAGATGAAGGAGTTGCGGGAGTTGGAATCGAAAACATGGGCGGATTTGTGGAATGCTGACTTGGATACTTTCCTCGAGGCATTGAACAAACAGGTGCGACTTTCGGCAGCCTTGCTTTTGTATCAACATGCCCGCATGAATATTGGATCCGGGCATCGGCTTTAATAGTTTCTTTTCAGGAAGCCAAAGAAAAAGCTGATCTGGAGTCCAATATCAAGAATGCTGCAAAGAAGTTCGTCAAGGAGGAGAAACCCAGCAAAGGAGCTAAGAGGACGGCTGCGTTTGCAGCGGTACTTTACTTTTTTTCAACACATATTTGCAAGGATGTCAATTGGCTGTTTATTTAGGAAGTGTTCCCATCGAAAGACGGAATTCGTGTTGAGCCAGTTATCGATAAGGCGATGAAAGAGAAGTACGACAAGATAAAAGCTGCAGCTACAAGAGAAAAGAAACCGAGAGAACCGAAAGAACCGAAGCCGCCAAAAGAACCCAAGAAACCGAAAGTTGAAGGAGATGACATTAAGAAATTCCTTAAGGTAAAGAGAAAGATGGCTCACGTCGTTCGACGGTTGAAGAATTATTAGTTCTCGATTCCATTTTTTATGTGATGGTATTCAGAGCGAGAAAAAGAGTCCGAAAAAGAAGAAGGCTGATAGATGGGATTCTGATGCGAGCAGCAGTGAACTCAGTGACCTCGGGGATGTAAGTTCCTCAAGTATAATCCCCAAGCCATTGCAATTTTGGCGAAGTTTATTTAGGACGAGGAAAATACTCTCTTCGATGATGATGATGATGAAATTGAAGAAGTTATTCCAAAGAAAGATCGTGCCACTAGAGGACCTGTGAGTGTCTATTCACCCAATTATTGTCTATTTCAAATAAAAATCATCCACTTTATAGCCAAAACGTTACACAGAGGAAGATGATGGTATGACCAACGGAGATGCTGGTGGTGACGCCAGCGGCGACGTTGTAACGTTGGATGATAGCGACGTGGTCTCATCGCCTAAAAAGGTTCTTCATAGGCTTTGGTTACCTAGTGCCTTCATCACCTCACTGAAATACGTGAAAGACAGCTAATGAATTTCAGTCTGCACCGGCTAAGAAGGCTGCTCCAAAGAGGATAGTTGAGAGTGATGAGAGTTTTGGCGATTCCCTTCCATCGAAAAAGGCATCAAAGGTTCGTTCGAATTAAGGCCTCAATAATCCAGTTGTTGAAATGTTAAATAATGTAGATGATTTAGCCATCAAGCCCAGCAAAGAAACCAGCTTCAAAAGCGAAAAACCCTGCTGCTGGTGACAATGCCGAGCCGTCGTCCAAGAGTAGCAAGAAGGTTGGTTTGCGCCTTTTTCCATGAACCTATGGGTCTGATGGTGTCGTATTTCATGTTATCGTTTTAGACTTCTAGCAGTCATGATGTCTTTGAAATTCCTAGCGACGATGACGAAAAGCCAGCTGCCGCAAAGAAAGCTCCGGCAAAGAAGGGAGCTGCACCAGCTAAAAAAGGGAAATCAAAAAAAGAAAACGGTGCAACCGACTCTCCTAAAATGACGGACTTTTTCGGGAAAAAGGTCTGTCTTTCAGCGAATAAATGACAAAACTAGGCTCAGGATTCTTTTATCAAATTGAATTCATTTATTAATTCATTTGTTTCGATATGGATGAGTTTTTCAGTGAACGACGATTCTGGCCTTTGAGCCATCTGCTTCCATTTTCAGTCAGTTATCTAAGGGTTTTCAGGGTAAAAACAAGAAAAAGGGTGGTGCCGATTCAGATTCGGATGACGACATCGTAGTAGAAGACGATTCCCCAGCTCCGGCTCCACGTCAAGCAAGGTATACCAGTGAATCAGCTTACTGTTGTTCTCTCTGTTTTTTCCTTGGGAAATCCTTTATGTGAGGAATGATCTTCCATTACACTCGTTGAAATTGATCATGTTCTAGTCGCCGCCCTCGGGCAGCCCCCAAGTACAATTACGGTGGCACGGACGATGAAGACGATGATGACTTCCCAGCAAAAAAGAGGAAGAAGGTAGTCGATAGCGATAGCGACTAAGTCGCTTTGGTTGGCGAAATGTCAAAGTTGGTAGTGCTTTCTAAGGCATGATTTGTTTGTTCTCACTTTAATATCCATCTCACATGTAATTAGTTATTTAATGTACTAAAATAATACTTGTTTGTAAGTTGATACATTAATTAGAAGCATGTTTTTGTTGGATCTCGTAATTTATTGGGCCCGGATGAGAGCGATACTCTTTTTTTTTCAGATTGCTAAAACTGTAGGTATTATGATGTCTGTTCAAATCTCTTCTTGTGTCATTCATGTACCTAATAGAATTTCACTCGGTTTCTCGTTGCAGTAATGGACCTCCTTGTGAATAAAGCAGAATCTCTTTTGACCGATCAATCATTGTCGACCTTCAGATGATATGCCGTTTGCACAATTTACACCGGGATAAATAAAGTCTTTATTGCGTACAATAAATAAATTAGAGGGCCAATATGAACTCGTATAAGTCGGGACTAATTCTTTTCTTTTGACGAAGCACGTTTAGCCTTTTTCGTTTTGAAACCCCCCTTATTGCCAAAACAGTAGGGACAGCTACCACCAGCAGAGCCACCAGTTGTGATTGGGTCGGGGATACCGTAGCTACCGTAGTTCCCATAGCTATTCGTTCCATATGTGGAAGCACCGAGGTTGTTGAAGTTACCAAATGAGTAGCCGCTAGTGCCCGGCAGCATATTTTGCATAGTTTGTTGCCCTGTGCCGAATCCATAGTTAGGGAAACTATTGAAAGACATCGTTGGATAGCCGCCGAGTCCTTGAGTACCGTAGCCGGAGAGCGCTTGTTGGTATAGGTCTGGTTGAACGACGTAGTTCTGTCCGCCAAAACCTTGGTTGGTGAAACTGGACGTGGGATATGAGCCAAACGTCAGGCGCCCGGAGTTGTCCGTTGAGGAGACCTGAATGAGAATTGTTGAATTAAATGAATTCGGCTATTCATAGTGGGTGAAATCTTTCAAAAGTATGTTGAAGGGTGGTTTAAAGATGAAGTAATCCAACATCTTATAGTTTGATTGACAGGCTTCAACGTTGTCAAATACCCATTCCCATAAAAAGTAATAGGTAAGTTAGAGTGAGTGTCTATTTTGGCGATTAATCAGTACTTGTAATACTCGTAGCTGAACCCTGTCTTCAACTAGCAGAATATATGAGAAAAATGGTCCGCTGTTCTACCCTTGACTTCACCCATCGAATTCAGTTGAAGCCAAAAAGTTGATGAGGTTAATTGGAAGTGATTCACTCGTTAAACGTGAGATCTGGAGTGTTCTTGAAATTGGCCGAGCAACAATTTCTAGACGTTCACTTGAGGCGGGATTGGCAGCAAATGCTGAGTGGGAAGGCATTGTGAGTGTGTGTAACAGAGAATATTTTGAGAAACCAAAATTGGCAAGAGATTCTCCGCTGGCTCATTACGAGGAAATAGATTAGGAGAAAGTTGTTTGAAGGAAATGACCATGCTTCCAGCGTGGAGACGCTCGTACATCTAACGCGAAAACCAATTTACCCACGAGGGTGCAATCGGTGCAGCTGAAAAAGAACCCTTCATTACTAGCTGTTGCCTCAGACCGGGTGAATCGCCTATAAAACATATTCTCATAAGGATAAAGTCTTGGGACGTAATCAGCGCCCACGCTTCCGACTTCCATTCAGAATCGTACTGGCATTTTGAATGCGTACACGACCTATACAATAACTTGCAATGGCCAGCCGATATACAAGCCAATACTCATGTTCTCACGGACGAGTATGGTACCAATCATCCGACCGCAGAGCGATGGAAGGCTAAGGCGGATACCGATCCGGGATTCGAACCTGTGACCGTGCGTGTGTGAAGTGCGCGTTTTGCCACTACACTACCTCCGTCCTATATTCAATTAACCAACAATAAGTGAGAAAATGCGACCAAGCGACGTCAGTCGATTGAATCTGCCAACAAAACCGCCATATCGGACCACTGGACGTTAAGAGTTCAACCGCTTAGTAGAACTTCGGGACTCAGGTGCTCTCACGAGCATACTTACTGATCTCCCGATATTACACTTTCGAATTTCTATTCAACCAGAATCCTTCAAGTCAACTCAAATGATATAAGTTCATACGTTACACCATTGTGGTGGTGATGAAACAACTGGAACTGTTTACCCAACGAAACTCTGGAATTGTAATGAGCGTCAATGAGCACGGATTACGGGACAACCAGTAAGATTCACAAAGACTGTTGATGGGTACGTAAATATCATATTGATTACCTCTACTGATCGTTCATACAAAAACGAGACAACCTTTTGCGTCAACGTAACTGTTTAGAGTAACCATTGCGGTTTCATAAGAGTTGGTGGTGTCAGACATATCGGAGTCAGACGCTCCGCAGCCGAAGACCCAGTTCACGATAAATTTGAGGTACCCTTTTGAGTTGAAAAGCAAGAGTGTTGGTGAACAATAGTGCACGAATGGAAAGAAAGTGAAAAATCGGCAGAAGCCATAAAATATAAAGCTTCTTAGTAGTAGTGAAAGTAGCTCATTTAAGATATTATTAGGGCGGCAATGCTATGGGAATGGGTATCTGAACAAGATTTCTACTGTTACAGTTGGTAGAGATATCTACTTCTCAATTTCAAGCTGAAAATGTCCAAAGGGGCCTTCTACTGGATCAAGGCGAGTTCTGTTCAAATTCCCAACATGTCCCTTGTCAATGAGGCAGCATTTACAACGCCGTTGACATTCATCGGCATCTGAGTGTGGCATACAGTGGATACAATCTCTGAGCTCTCATTGCGCCCTATTTAGGCCATTTTTAACCCTAACAGCACTACATGTAGTATGCGGGGAACCGTGGGTTCATTCTAGGGGGGTATCTTAGAAAGGAGAAAGGGTTTTTATTGTGAAATGGGCCTTCACTAAAACAGCCCGTCACCACTGAAAGGCATAGTCAGACTTATGGTGAGCAATTGCACCACTGGGCGTAGCACTCATTGTTCAAACACATGAATTCATGGGCTTAGAGGGATGTGGCCTTGACTAGTATGTATGATTTCTTCAGCTTTCCCGAGATATGAAATTTTATGAGGCTAACGTTCCGCAAGTTCCTCTTCGTCAGTCAAAAAGTCTTTGAGATTGATTCCCTGATGAAGCAAGGTGAACCCAAGCCGTTTTCCAGACTGGGTGACCCCCTGAAACCGGTTTATAAGAAGCTTGCCTTGATCTAAATCGTGATTTGCTGTATCCGATCGGCCACCCAGAATTTAACGTCTGCGTAGAATGAGCAAGCCTACCTCCCCGTGACCTCACCGTAATTTCCAAATTTGCAGAGGTCGAGAAAGGGCGCGAGATGACAGGATGTGACTTAGCCTGCCTAATCGTATCTCCCGTTATTTTTTGAATGAAGGTCCCTGCTTTTCTTGGATTATATTTTTTTCAAATCAAAGTATCCGAATAGACCTTACCTCATTTATTCGTGTAGCTATAGCTTTTCCAAGTTGACTACCGAAATCTGTCGGACCATTGAAATAAGACAAAGGATTAGAGCTAAAAAACTAATCTTCGTTATACGGTAGCATGGGGTGGTCAAGAATTCTGGCTAACATACTCGATATTTGTGTATCCATTGTACGAGCCACTGCCATATTGTGAGTTCACTCCAGCACACTGTGGGCAGACAGTATTTTGGATATAAGCGATCGTGTACTGTAGTGACAACAGTACCAGTATTGAGGATGTGGACAAGTGGCGGTTCATTGAGCTGAAATACTCGTGAATAAACAAAAGCAAAATTTTTAAACTGTGGAGCGCTGGTTCACACGAGAACAGAGGAGGTGGTGGTTCTAACACACATCTTTCATTCAACATGAGCATGATTCCGAATACTATAATAATTTCAAAACAGTCCAAAGTTGTCTTAAAAGGGTCCACTATCTCGAAAGGGACCATTTTTTCCCTCTTCGCTCTGTGCGGCTACCTATCGTCTCAGCCAACATACAGTGTATCCATTCTACCTGTAAATTGCTATCGATAAGAGACCATTCGAACGTCATTCTCAGGTTTTCCTCTGGGAGCAAAGTTTGAAACATTGTGCGCGAGTTTCTAATTTAATCTGACTGTCAGGATTCTCCTTGGAGATCGGCGCCCGCGATCGCTTAGTTTCGTTGCTGAAATCCCAGGCCGTCTTGCTGTTTTACGTCTTCTTGCTGAATGATCTTTTCCGGGCGCCTAACGACTAACCCCGAAGGACAGCCTACCCCGAGGAATTGTAATCTTGGTGATCGTTCACTCAGTGGAAACTCAAGCACAGGGAATCGAGAGAATCGTAGGATATAAGGGTGGAAAGGAATTCCCTCAAAGTGAACTGGGAAAAGACGATGTTGTCAATCTAAGATTGAGACTACTGTTTGTAAGATCTCGGAGATATTTTTACAAATACTTCAAAATCCCCTCAAAACTGAGGGAGTGGCCGAGTGAATAGTGTTCAGTGTAAGATGGTTTAGAGTCATATTAAACGTAAGACGAATCTGGTCAAATGGTCAGCAGAACAGTGAACTGTAGTAAAGCTGCCTCAAAAAACGTGAAAGGAAGATGCAGAGTCTAAGCTCATGCTAGAAGCGAGGTTTGTCTGGACAGGCCTTAGAGTCTGAGAGCCATTTGAGTGGAATTCAGGAGGAGTTCGACTGTCCAAACAACGGTCAGCGGCACTCGACGTCGACACTCTGGTAGCTATTGTGGTGAACATGCTCCTCAAGGACTGGACACTTCGTTCCAGCTGGCCGCAGCCTTCAGTCGGCGGAGCACTCGAACGAATTTTTTAACGATTCACAAGACTAGTGGCACTTCATGACCTCGGAGACAGAGTGGACTGATTAGAAAAGAAGTTCGGCGGTTGACCCCAGAGTGCTTGCAGCTGCTCGGCTCCTGACTTTTCACACGGTTTGTCAGTATCAGTAGGACGGCAGTTGAACGAACTGTACCGGTATAATGTAGCTTGGTTTGTGATGGGTTATTACCTGGGTCATGGCGATTTCTATTTCAGACTGTAGTTTATCCTTCAATTTTCTGAGGTTTGGATGAAGTCGAGTGCCAATCGAGAGGTATTTTCACCACAGAACGTGTTCAGAATGAATTTCAAGCTTGCATAGAGAGAGAAGGAACTGACAAAGACCGGTCAAACCGGCAGCTCCGTAACTCGGCCTCTAAACTTCTTTGCATGGAATCGACCAGAGATGTACCCCTTTCTCCATCGTGATAATGAACACTGCCTGTAGGGTTGTCCAATAAATTTTGGCTTTTTCATTCCGAATAGGTTTTGCTGTCAGAATTTGATGTCGTGATAAGTTTTTCAAACATTAGTTATCGGGATAGGTGTTTCGCCTTTATTTTAACTGTGATATAGGATCCCCACGTGATATGGTACCCAGTAGACAGGAGTGACGTCTTTGCTCCAAATTTTTGTACCCCAACGAATAAATAGGCTCCATCCTTATTCATGACTTTCCCTACGTCCTACAAATTTTTCATAACCTTTGCTCTAGAGTCTATTCCCATGGCCCAGCAAATGGCCGTCAAATCCTGCTAACAGAAAAACCAATTTTGAATGGAAGAATAAGCCTGGCTTCTAGCCATTCCAAATCTTCCAGTCAAGGCATGTTGGACAGGCCAGGACTGGAGTGTCCTAAAAAATCTGAACGGGTTGATTCCTTCCTATGAAAAATACAGGTAGATCTAGTTGCCAGGCAGGCTTAATTTCGTAGGCTCGATTGCTCTCATCACAGGCCTCGAAACGTCTCGTTTTACAAGTAAATACCTTCCAAATGGCGTGCAGAAGGTTCTGCATGATTTGAAAAACTATAGAAATAATCAGTCCATAAAACGTGATAACCTGAAACCTGCGTATAGATCACGAAGAATGGGCTACATTCTACCTGGAGCCTAATTGGAATGTTCTCATCAATAAAGTATAAAGGGGAACTAACGGCAAGTTGAATTCGGCTGTATGTGTTATACTCCGCTGCCGCCGTTTACCAAACTATTCTCATCTTCGCCCCTCCCCGAGAGCCGTTGATTGGTATTTAGGCGGCAATCTCTACCTATTTGGGCATATCGTAGATGCGAATCAGACAATTTCAAAGGTGATGGTATTACATCTTGATGGGAACACTACATGACACTGAAATAGGGAGCAGCGGAGTAGAGTCAAACCAACTACGTCAGTGATGAGATCCTAGAGGAGATACATCCATTGAATTCAAAACGTATAATAGCCAGGAATCGCGGAAAATGGGAGCCCATCGCATCAAGGCTTTTGCCAACCTCTCACTCTCTTTTCAGACAAGGTTGAAATAGAAAAGCACGTTCGAAATGAGGTAATTCCGCCTAGGGGGACTGATACTGCTGCTCCTCAGAAAGCGAGAAAATTGGAGATTATCATAACTTCCTGAACAGCCATAAATTTTTATGAGTATATTTCTTCGCAAAATAGGTGCCCTAAATGGAAGCTGCCAGATTTCACTCTGCCCGTGAGCTTGCTCGATTATAATGATAATTTGAAGGAAATCTTGATTGTCAAGTTAGAATTCGTATTTGGTCTTCACAGTGATCAAACAGAGATAACTCTCCTCAACGAGGTTCTAGCAGTTGATTGCTTACATACAGCCGAGGCGCAGCTTAATCTACAGAATATTAATTCGAACCGCCATCATTTTCTTGCGTCCCCTGCTCTTCATAATGATGACCTATCAAACGACTAAGCTTTTTTTCAATTTAATCGTCGTCTGAATCATATTTCGTATCTCTCGTTCCTCTTATCTGCAAGAACGGCGTCCTAAATTAGGGGTGCTCTTGAGTGATACGTGGGTCAAGCGGGCACACCAAAAAGCGTTGACAAAGTGCAAGTGGCTCCCAATTTCCGATACGGCTTCATAATCGTTATTGCTAAAATCAGGCCTTGTCATTGTGAACATATAGTGAAAGAAAAAGTGGTCTTTCTTATATCTGCTCATCTTCACCTGCCTTCATCGTGTATGCCATTTACTGCTGCTCCACGGACGTACAAGGCTACTAAGGGTAGGCCTTCCGCCGTTTTCGACAAGATTAAGGTTTGCGAAGGTTGTTCGCTGAACCTTTGCTTTTGGCGTTCGACTCTTATCCAAGAGCTCATTTATCGTAAGGCAAGGATAGGCTGGCAGCGGAACAGAAGCGTTTGAGAAATACGAAGTCATGTTAAAAAGTAGGAATAAGCAGATGATCAGACTGCATTTTGGTCCTCTAATAGTTCTCTTCTAAGCCCGATATTGGCCAGAAATGATTTTAACCGATTCAAACGAGACGAGAAGGCAATGATGAGGTGAAGCAGAGGCTTCCAGAACTGTATTGGGGGTGACATTGCCGGGCGGTCAGTTCCTCTGACAGAGCCATAACAACAAGTCCCTACCAACCAGTACATCTACTAACTATTCAAAATTTATAATTTTGAAAGAAATTGTGCTGGTTATCATTATCAAGATTTAAAGGGTTTTCCAGGTACTTCGAAAGCAAGGAAACAAAATTGTTAGAAAACTCTCGATGGTAGAGAAGTAGTGGGTTACTAAAAAAGAATGAAGGGTTTGAAAAAGGGAAGGATGAGAAGAGTTCTGTTTGATAGAAATGTTCATAGTAAAGTAAGACAGTTGGTCTGTGGAAGAATTAGAACGCATTTCGGCGGTCATTTCAAAATCCGACTGTCTTCAACCCGCTTATATTGGGAGCCCTTGCATCGGACCTTTTTAGTGGCAAAATCCTGTCCCGTATGTTTTGCGATGGTCATACGGTTGCAGTCGCCTCACTGCGTCTAGAAGTAAAGAGCGCTCCAAGGGTAAATATTGACAGAGGTCTGTTTTTCTCGCCGTACTTTGGAGGTGGAGCCGTTGTGACCAGCCTTTGCGAACCTGCTTAGCCACTCATCATCGCCGTAAGTAGGAAACGTGACTCATTGTGGACGAGTTTCCGCATTTCTGGAGGCCACTCGACGCTTCAAATCATGTCAGAGGGAATACCGGCTGTATGTGAAAAATATTTAGCGAGAACTGCTTTTGTTTGGTCGAGATTTGTTATGGGGTGGGCTAGTTAGCCAGGACTGTGTGGTCATCCGAGGGAGCAGTAATTGGGACCTGAGGGAACACAGACGGTGGTCCAATTTCTCCGTAAAAGATCAACTTCAAAAAGCTTTGCTGCGAAGGTCTACTGACCGCTAGGTTGCATTACGATCTGTTGTCTCAGTTGTTTGCGCAAAAGTGTCTCGCTTGTCCTACTCATTTGCCCTTCCTCTTCAGTTGACGAATAACTTCCCAAGCACTTTTCTGACCCCAGGACCACATATTTTGTCCCGATAGGTTCATAGCAACTGTTATTGCCCCTTTCATCAAGAGTCTGTCCTGGAGTGCACAACAGTCCGACTTCATAGATGATTTTACTTTGTAATGCTTCAGCCGTTTAGAAATTCGAGGTAGCCAGCATTCAAAGGTTATCTGTCCTCGAGACTAGATTGGCCGTAATTGGGAGAAGGCATCCTACTGAGAAGTGTCGCACTCAGTCGTGCATTGTCTTTGTTTTTTCTTTCTAAAGAAAAAAGTTCGCTCTTCATTTTAGGCCACTGTCAACATTCCATTCCTAGAGCGGATAAAGCAGGGGGAGCCCAAGAAGTGCTGGAGTGTTTCGAGGAATGTCGACAATTGGCTTAGATATAAGCAGGCCTACGAGCAGGTTCGAAAATG